ACAAATGAGTGAACAAACAAAATATCTCTATGGATGCTCGGATGTGGATTAGACCAATAACTCTTCCTTGGTCCCCGGAGATGGTGGATGCAGCCTGGTCATTTATCCTACCATGAGAGCAACTCGATAGGCATTTGACAAAGGCCTACCTCACAGCACCTGGAAGACAATCTGGTGGCTTGGCATTTGGGGCTGGTTTCCAAGGAGTTGTCTTCACAGAGGGATCCTGTCTCTGAAGCTAATGAGAAAAACACCGTCCCGAGGGTGGGATGTGTCGCCCAGGTGCCACCCAGCTGTTGGGCCGGCAGGTAGACTCTGGGATCAGAGCCAAGAACCTCAAAGGTCCCTTCAGAGGTGCCTGCAGGTGCTCGGTGAGGCTGACTCAGGTCACGCTGCACTGACATTCCTGGAGCACCTGCTGGGACATCTTCACTCTCAGTCCCTGGCTCAGATGGTCCTCTCTTCCCCTTGGCCCTGCAGGGAAAGGACCACATGACCAAGGGCAGCAGAGTGAGATGTTAGAGCCAGGCTACAAGGGTGAAGGAGGGTTCTGCTTGAATCCATCACAGGAAAGAACCTAAGGGCCAATCAGGTCTTAGTAGCATAGAAGGAAGTTTATTGGAGTAAAAGCATGCGTCTTCAGAGCAGAATGGGCGCCATCTTGAGAGTGAAATGTGCCACCAGAGCTTAAGGTCAAGTTTCCATTCCATTAGGGAAAGTAATTAAGTGAAATATGTATGATCCAAAGGAGCTCAGCTTCTCTCATGGTTGGAAAATATTGATAAAAATCATGTTTTCCCATCAGAGGGGTCTGGCCTGGTATGGAATGTCATCTTACATCAGTCTCTGGAAGTGGGGACAGGTCACAGGGTTATCAGTCAGAGGATCACGGTTGAGTCATATGTGAACCCCCGCACTCACCCTGTGAATGGTCTCTTTCTGTTGAGGCCTATATCCCAGAAACCCATAGGGAACTGTGGATCACACAGTAACTTATGGGTGTTTAATATGTCTTCACATCCGGGTCCTTTTCTGTCCCTTAGGCCTCTCCTTTGTCCTGTTTACCAATTGTTTATGAGTTGTTGGTTCTATCATTTGACAGAGATTTTTTTGTTTTCTTCAGAGACTTGGAGTTCCCTTCGTATCCCTACATTTCTATCTCAGAGCAATGTTCCTACCAACCTGACGGGGCTGTTGGAAGGATTAGATGAGAGAGTGCATCTCAAGCTCTTGCACCAGCAGGCCTGCGGGACTGTCCACAAGAGTCGGCTGTTATCATTTCCTGCATCTACTACACGGCCATGAAGAACCAAGCAGGCAATCCAGAGCGGGTCAGATGGAGATGGGGTTCTCAGCGGGAGGCGCCTGGGGAGGTGTTGAAAGCTACCAAGCACAGGTGGACCCCAGACCCGTTAAGTCAGAATTTCTAGGGGATGGGGCCAGGCATTGGTATCTTAGTGAAGTGACCCTTTATTATTATAAAATAACTCTTCATCCCAGAGGATGCTCTTTGTTCTGAAATCTCTTATCTGTTAAGATAGTAACACGTGCCTTCTTTTGGTACAGTTAATATGACATGTCTTTTCCTACATTTAACCTGGTTGTATTGAAACTGGGTTTCTTAGCAGAAGCATACTATGAGTCTTGCTTTTTAATCCAATCTGACAATTTCTGCCACTTTAACTGGGGTGTTTAGACCATTTACATTTAATGTGATAATTGACACAGTTGGGCTTAAATCGACCGTGCTGCTCTTTGTTTCCTGTTTGTCCTATTTGTTGTTGGCCCACCCCCACCCCTTTTGTGGTGCTGGGGATCAAACCCAGGGCTTCACACATGGCAGGCAAGTGCTCTAGCTCTGAGCTACATGCCCATCTCAGTTATCACTGAGTTACTTTAGCAGTGGTTTGGAGCTCGTAATATACATCTTTAACTCATCGCAGCCGTCCTCAAGTGACATCACACCACTTCACATATAGCATCAAACCAGACAGTGCTAAGCTCCCACTTCCCTCCTGGCCTTTGTGCTATTGTCGTAGGATTACTACACTTATTCTGAACCCCCCAGAACGTTATTATTATGCTTTAAATAGTTGATCTTATTTTTAATGTGATTTTTTAAATTAAAAGAAAAATAATTTTTATTTTCCCACGTAGCTACCCTTCCCAGTGTTCCTCATTCCTTCCTGTAGCTCCAGACCCCCGTCTGATATCATTTTCTTTCTGCTTCAAGAACTCCATTGCCATTTCTTACCTACAGGTATGCTAGTGATGAATTCTTTCTGCTTCTGCAAACCTGAAGACATTTTTATTTTGCCTTCCTTTTTTTAAAAGCTGTCTTCTTGTGGATGTGGAATTTGAGGTTGATCTTTGAAAAAATATTTTAAAAGACGTGACTGACTGCAGGGTCTTCTCACTTGCATTGTTTCTTTGGAGAATTCGGACGCCCGCCTTCTAGTTATTCCTTTATCCTTTTTGTTTGTTTTCTGAATGCTTTTAAAGATTTTTTTCTTTATATCTGGTTCTGAATAATTTGATCATAATGGGTCTCATGTCATTTTCTTAATGCTTCTCTAAGGCCAGGAGGGGAGACGTGGGAGTACGATGTTAGAAGATTCTTAAGCGTGACATTGTAAGGTGAAGTGGCACCACGTCATCTGGAGGTAGGAGGAGGACTGTGGTAAGTCAATGTGCTTGGGGTTCATGGAGCTCCTTAGATTTATGGACTAAGAGTTTTCATCAAGAGTAGAAATTTTTGCACCATTATTTATTTGTCCTTAGAAGTCTAACTCCTCCCTCTCTCTCTCCCCATCCCCATCTCTCTCTCTCTCTCTCTCTCTCTCTCTCTGAAATAGAGAACATGCTTCAAGTTGTCCTGTAGCTCACAGAATCATCTTTTTCCTCCTGATTTTTATTCCCACTCCCCCCCCCCCACCTCTGAATTTCCTTTTGGACGGTTTCTATGATTTTATCTTCAAGTTAACATCCCCAGTCTTTGTGAGTTCTTGTACTCTCTTCCATGTCACCTCTTAACATCCTGCCTTTCCTCTGGCTTCTTCAGTATATGAAAGACAGCTGTGGCTCCTGTTTTAATGTCTTCATCAGTTCCATCATCTATGTCGTTTCTGGGTCAGTGTCCTATGATTGAATTTTCTCTTTGTTAATGAGTTGAGTTTCCCTGCTTCTCTGCCTGCCTGGCAATTTCTTAGTGGATACCAAATATTGCAAATTTTACTCTGTTGGGTGCTAGATTTTTTTTTTAATTTCTATATATGTTTTGAGCTTTTTCTGGAACACAAAGTTACTTGAGATCAGTTTAATCTTTGTTTTTAAGCATCATGAGGTAGGACCAGAACAATACTTAGTTTAGAGCTAATTTTTGCCCTGTTAATGAGGCAAAAACACTTGAGTGAATACTCTGCCTATTGCCCTGTAGGTTATAAGGTTTTCTCCTCTGGCTTCTGAGGACAGGGATTATTCTCAGCCCTGTGTGGACTCCTGGGATTGCTCCCTCTAATGCTCCCAGATGGCCCCTTCCTGGCCTCAGTGTTTCCACACATGCATGTGTCCCTCCGCACTTGGAAGACTGCAAGTCCCTCTGCTGATCTCCAGAGCTCACGTACGCTCTCGCACATGCACAGTCCATCTCCTTCTCCCTCGTTTCTTCTCCATGATACCTGCCCTGTGACCTCTAGCCACCTTGGCCCCTGTCTTAGTGCATTTGTGCTGTTAAAACAGAATATCTGAGAATGGGCAATTTTTAAAGAATAGAAACTGATTTCTCAGATCTGGGGGCAGAAAAGTCCAGGGCCAGGACACTAGCAGCTTCAGCGTCTGAAGAGGGCCCAGTCTCTGTTTCCAAGATGGCGCCATGAAAGCCGCATCCTCTGTGGGGGAGGAATGCTGTGTGGTCACATGGAGGAAGGTGGAAGGGCCAAAGGATGAACTCACTCCATCAAGCCCTTCTATGGCAGCATCAATCCATGACCTAAACACTTTCCCAAATGCCCTGCTGCTATAGTGGAGGTTGAGGACAGAAATATTCAAACCCAGCAGCCTCCCAGTTGCGTCTCCTGAACTCAGGGAGAGCACTGAGCTCCGGTGGGTTCCCTCTCCTGGGCCCTGGCCTGAGCACTCTCTCCAGGAGTCAGCGGGGCAATGGTTGGGCTTCTGTTCTCACTTTCTGTTCCGTGTCTCTTGGGAATGGCTCTCCTTTGTGGTCTGCTGTCCGACGCCTTGACAACTGCTGTTTTCTATATATATAATTCTCCCAGTTTTTTGCTCCAAGAAAGAGGATCATTCTCTCTTACTCCAGCTCAGCCAGTGGAAGTCAATGAGTGAAACTTGATCTTCTCTTAAAGAACCAATATATTTCTAGAAAATCAGTAACCTAAGTCATCCCGATTTTTCTTTTAATTTTGCAAAAACGCTGGATGAGCCAAACAATATTTGGCCTTTGAGTTGACATTTTGAGATTCATACCTTACCTGTTTTCAGATTTTTTTCTCCATTTGCTATTTTAACAGGTTTAAGCCTAAAAATAGTCTAAGAAGAGTTCACTTTTATTGCCCAAAGTTAGGAGTTGGATGAGACAGAAACAGAACCTCTCTGACTTCAAAGCTGGTACCATTTCTTTCGTGAAATCCCCACCCCTTGGATTTCATCTGCACCCTGTTTTCCCCCAGCCCCAACGTGGACTTGGAAACTGCCTTGGCTTTGCATCCTCCATGTTTAGCAGAGGGCATGGCTATGGAGAGATGAGGAGATTTGGGCTGAACAAATCAATGCTTTCCCTTCCTCTGTTTGCCCTCTTACTCTTGCCAGCCTCTCCGAATGCACACCCGTCTATTAAGTGGGAGGTATGTTACCAGCTGCACAGGTGGGATTTAAATCAGGCAGCTGTTACCTGTGAGATGACGCCTCTGCTCCCACAGGGTGAGAAGCATGGAGTAAAGCCAAGGCTGAGTCAGAGGAGAGGGCTTGTTAACCACGCAGACACAGTCGTTGAGGGATTTTTAATTTTTAAAAACTTAAAGCCCTAAGATATTTGAGGGAGGGATGGTCCCCATTTCAGTAGTCATCCAAGAAATCCAAATGAACAAACAAAATATTGACATGATTAAAAAAAAGAAACAGTCACATGGGACATTAATGAGATTGTAGAGAAAAGATATCTCGTGGGCGGCTGGTAGCATTTTGCATGGGTTTAATTTTTCTGGAAGACCATTTAGCAAAATTTATCAAAAGCCTTAAACACAGTCATGTGATTTTTTTCTCAGCGATTTCACATTTAGCACATTCTGTCCTCAGGAAATATGCAGACAGGTGCGGTGATTTATCCACGGGAATGCTCATCACAGTGCTGTGTAGTCAAAGACTGGGGACCAGACCGATGCATCAACATGAGGGACAATCCAGGAGCCTTTAAAAACAAATACACAGAAGAATAAAGACATGACAAAAATGCTTATGAACGATTGTTAAGAAACCTAGATTTTAAAATTATAGGCATATTTATTGTAATTAATGCTTCCTTTGTGCCTTGCTAATTTAATTAGCTCATGTAGTTCTCAGAATGATCTTAAGAGGTGGGTACTGTCCTTCTAGCTGCAGAATCTACCCTGTGGCCAGGCAGCAGGTGGTAGAGCTGGATTCCAACCACTGATGCTTAGGCCCAGAGTCCAGTGGTTCCCAAAGTGTGGTCCCCGAACCAGTGACTCCACACCACCTGGAACTAGCTAGACATGCCAGTCCCCAGGCATGGTCCCAGGGCTTCTGGTTGAAATCCTGTGGGGGTCAGGCTCAGCAATCTGTGTTTGAGCCAGCCTTCCTGTGGGTGCATGCTCCATGTCGAGAACTAACAGGCAACGTGGTTCTACCTTTTCTTGACATTTTGTTGAAAAAAAAATGTGTATAAAAACGTCTGGCAGATGAGGAGATATTAATGGTGTCATCTCTGGATGGTGAGCAATTTGGGTGATTTTGATTTTCTTTGTGTGTGTGTGTATGGGTGTGTGTGTGTGTGCACGTGCGTGCACACTCAACGACGTGTTTACGCGTGCATGTGTTTGCATGTTTGTGATTTCCAAAAAGCATGCAATGAACTTTTGTGACCAAGATGAAAATCTATATATGTTGAAGAAGAAGAAGGAGGAGGAGAAGGAGAGGTAGAAACAGAAGGAGCTCTGCTTTAAACCCCAGCAAGAGGGTGTGAATTTTCCAGGGAGGGAAGTGCAGGTAGAAATTGCTTTTTCTAAATGCTACGGAAACTCAAGCCCAGCTTGTCAGCCATGTGGATCCCAGGGGGTCTTGTTACAATGCAGACTGTGATCCAGCAGGTCAAGGTGGCTGAGATGCTGCTGTATTTCTCTCCAGCTCCCAGGCCATACAGATGACGCCGATCCCAGGGACACTTTATGAAACAGGGACCTGAAAGCTTGATGCTCCCAGCCCTCAGCCAGCAAGCTCCATGAGGACAGAACATTTTCTGGTCCAATGACATATTCCCAGGGCTGAAAACAGAACAAAAATTAGTTATCAAATGAATGGAGATGCCGCGTGCCAGGGAGCCTGCTGGGGACCCAGGAAGCTGGAGTCTGGTCATGGTTTTCCACCTGCTATTGGCATGTCCTCGGGCAAGCTGTGACCTCCCTGTAATGACAACTGTTACTGGACAAGGTGACAGCTTTGGGCTGTCTTTTTTTTTCATGACCCAATATGTAACACATGCTCAACCTGGGCCAGGATTATCCAAGATTTCACTTTTGTTTAAAATATAAAAGTGCCAGGAACTTGGCAGCACTATCAGGTTGTCTTCTGAAAGCCTCAAGGAAAGAAGTTGGAAGAGAAGAAAGATCTAAGTCGAGGTTACCGTAGAAACATTAACTCATCCACAGAGTCGGCGTGCTGCATTTGGATTACAGGTTAGGCTCATAAGCCTGAAATAAATTATATACTCTTCGTATTATTCAGCACCGTACTGTATAATAATAAATTATACAGTTATAGGCCTCAGCCCAAGTTATAACAAATTATACCACAGCGTGTAATTACTCTGCACCGCACCATATAATAATAAATTAGACAGCTACAAACCTAAGTTGTGATTCCTAGAAAAGATAGGGGAAGGAGCAAGGGCTGTTGATCGATTCCTCTGATCAGATCCTGGTCAGATGGGCCAGGGGTCAAAGGAGAGAGGGGATGGCTGATTCCTGCCTTAATTCCTGCTTTCTTTCTGCGTATTTGGATGTCCTGTGGTTTGGGTACAGACTTGTTCATGGGGCCCAGTTCTCAAGGGTTTTCGACTGTGGGGGAGAGTTACATGCAAACTGAAATGGAAACACAGAATGTCACGGAACCAGGCCCCGTTATGCCAGCAGCACGATGTGCCCGTCACTGACACGGATGAATTTTGCAAAAGAGAAAGAGTTGATTCACAGAGCCGCGGCCGAGTGCAAGGACACAGGGGACCCGAGCTCAACTCTTCCTCCCCGGGGATAGAACTGGGGGGTGTTCATGGGCTGAAGCGCAGGGAAAGGTGGTTGGAGATTAGCTGAGAGGAGGTGAATTGGGCTAGGGACAGTGGGTTTATCTGGATTTTTCCTTGGTTTTAAGAACAGCCATGAGGAGAATCAGAAATGGCAGTAGGCAGAGGGTCCAAGTCTCCAGGCCCGTGTACTGGTGCAGGTGCTCCCTGCTTGGACTCCGCCAGGTGGTGTCATCCTCCCCATTTGGCAGATGAAGTGAGCAAGGCTGACCTGACTTGCTCAAGGTCAGACAGTATAAATAGCAGGATGGGAATTTGAAGGGCTTAACAACCCTTAGGAGCCAGAGGGCTGCACACAGACGTCTCCTGGAGAGTCCGGCACAGAGAGCGTTTTTTGTGGAATTGGAGCAGATCGTCTTCCTTCATGCAGCCCCCAAGCCCGGGTGACGGCAGCCGCAGTGCAACCCCACGGTGTGCTTAGGCTCTGCTGGGAGCTTAGCCAGGCGTCCAACTCACACCACCCTCTCAGCAGCCTCAGGAGCTTGGGACTTTTCTCATGCCCATTCTACAGATGCCCAGCTGAGGCCCAGGGAAGGCAGCTAGTAAGCAGCAGAGCCAGAAGCCGACCTTAGGCAAGTCTGCTGGCCACGTCCCTCGCGCTGTTTTTGGTGGGTGCAGGGTGGGTGCTGGGGATGGAACGCAGGGCCTCTGTATGCTGGGCAAGCGCTTTACCACCAAGCCTCAGCCCAGCCCTCTCGTCCCTCATTCTGGACCACTATCATGGGGACAAGTGCTCCCGGCCACTCAGACGCCCTCAACGTATGCCATGTATGCAGTACTCCATGCTCTTGTCACCACACACTATATTGCTAGTTTAAAAAAATAAAGAAATACAAACAAAAACAAACAACAACAACAAAAAAAACCACCCCCGTACTCCAAAACACTCTTTAAAAAAATTGTTTAATACCAGGGATTGAACCCAGGGGTGCTTAACCAGTGAGACACATCCCCAGCCCTATCTATTTAAAATATTTTTTTAGTGGTAGTTGGACACAATACCTTTATTTTTTATTCTCTGTGGTGCTGAGGATCAAACCCAGTGCCTTCCACATGCAAGGCGTGCACTCTACCGCTGAGCCACGGCCCCAGCCCTATTTATTTATTTATTTTGAGACAAGGTCTTGCTAAGTTGCTCAGGGCCTCAGTAGGTTGCTGAGGCTGGCTTTGAACTCGTGATCCTCCCACCTCAACCTCCCGAGCCAATGGTATTATAGATGCGCGCCACTGCACGGTCAAAACACTCATCTCTAAGTCCAACCTATCCTCAGGGGCTATCGGATGAAAGTCTGTGGAGACTGAGGCCAGAGGGCTGCTCTGTCTGTCTCTCACAGCTCCTCGGGGTGGGTCCATTAGCCCATGTGCTCCTTATTTAATTAAGAAATTAGGCATTGGAGCGTGAGGGATGAATAGAAATTTACACAGGACACAGGCAAGAGGAGCCAAGGTGTGCTGTGTGGCTGTGCATGAGAAGAGGTTGTCTTTAGGGACAATCAAGTCCCCGGGTGGAGGTATGAGCTGGGCAGAAGGTGAGGTGGCCTTTAAGTGCCTCTTGCAGGAAGCTGGGCGCTCTCCTGAAGGCAGTGGTCATCAGTGGGTGGATTAGTGGCCCCTGGAGGACTTCCCAGCTCTGCATTTCCTCCTCAGGGAGACACCGCCGTCTTGCAGTAGCACCTCAGCCTGTCCTGCTCTGGCCTCCACGGCTCAGCCTGTTGCTCATGTACAGTCTTGAATACTCTTCCTGTCACGTCTGGCTAAGGAGACCGGCTCAGTCTGGTAGGTCTCTCTGGAGGATGGAGACAGGGTGGTTACCAGTAAAATCCAGGATCCCATGCCCACTTAGTTTTGAATTTCAGACAAACAACAAATAATTTTAGCATATGTCATAAATATTAGATACACTAAGAAGTATTCATTAATTTTGTGAAATTGAAATTTAATTGAATCTGTCAACTCTAGGTGACGGGGAGCAAACCAATAATAAGTGATAAATAAATAAATAAAATCAGCCCCCTGTGCAGCAGTCAGGGTCCCACCAGAGAAGCAGAGCCTTTGTGAGTGATCCAGGGTAAGGGGGCTGGGGGCGTGGCTTAGGGGTAGCATACCGAGCCCGAGGCCCAGTGTTCAATCCCCAGAGCTGCAGATAACAAAAAGCAAAACAAACAAACAACAACAACAACAACAACAACAACAAAAACCCACCACCCACAGAAGATGGAGTTGTGCCCAGAACAAGGGATTCACCTTGAGGCTGTGACCTTGTGCCCTGTGGGAACTGGCTGGGGCCACCTCTGCCTCCAGGGTGGACCTGGAAGGTCTGAGGAGCTGGACCAGCAGCCAGTTGGAAAAGAGAGGAAGGACAGAGGGGAATGCGTCTGTCTGTCAGTACCTCCAGTGTGCCCCCGCAGCGACCTACACGAGACCTGCCACCTGCCCATAGGAGCTGCATGTCCTCCTGGCCCAGGGGAAGGAGGAGGGCTGGCCGTGGCTTCAGGAGCTGAGGGGGAGCACTGACCTCTGCCACACCACGAACAGCAGACCAGCCACATGGGGAACCAGCGGCCACTCCAGCCCAGGTGCCCAACATCATGGTGGCCTCTTCGCTGCAGCCTTGGAAACCTTGAGCAAATCCACAGCACGTGAATCAGGTATGGTGACACACACCTGTAATCCAGAGACTTGGGAAGCTGATGCAGGAGGACACAAGTTCGAAGGCAGCTCAGCAAAAGTAAGGTATTAAGCAACTCAGTGAGACTCTGTCTCTAAAAATAATACAAAATAGGGCTGGGGGTGTGGCTCAGTGGCCGAGTGCCCCTCAATTCAATCCCTGGTACATCCCCACCTGCCCCCAAATTTGGCACATGACCACTATTAACCCAGAACCAGACAGGGAGGGAATTCTGTGAAACTGAACTCAGGCTTTTCTAGGCTGACCTAATCCTAAGCCCACGGCAGGTGAAGACCAGGGGCCAAGGAAGGGTCCTGGGATGGGGGATTGCTCCCTGATTGTGCCCTTGACCAGCCCAGTGTCTTCAAGTAAATTCCAGGTAGCATACATTCACAGTGCCTCGGTTTCCTCACCTGTAAAATGCATACAAAACCCCCCATACCTCCTGTATAGAGTTACCGAGACAATAAAAAGAGACCAGTAGCCCACCAGCCTGGCCGTTGACACTGTCAATGCAGTTAATTAATAATAATTTCTATTTGTGTCAAATCTGAATTTGCTATTCATCGGTCTCACTAGGGGGAAAAAGTCATTTGTCTTAAAAGATAAGACACAGTAGTTTTCCCTTGTCCATAATTTTGCTTGGCATGTTTTCACAGATATGAATGAATGGTACAACAACAGAATAGATGCGGCTCAGGGTTCTCGGTGGTTTGGGACATCCATTGAGGGTCTCGGAGTGCGTTCCTTGTGGGTAAGAAGGGAGTGCGATACGAATAAGCAGCGTGTTGCAAAATCTTCCCTCAATTAAGTAGCTCACCAGGTCCATTTGGAAAGATAACACACACCATCTCCAACGTTGGCTTCCCCCAATGCCAAGGTTAGCATGAGATACTGCAGGCCTGCCAGTCATGAAGCTCTGAAATCTTAAGTTCCCCCCAAATGAACCAAATGCACAAGCCCTAAGTAGGGAGAAAAACTAAAATGTTGCTTCAAGCTTTGCAGATGCAGTGGCTGCTGATTAAAAGAAAATCCTTTCTTTTAAAAGGTCGTGTATGAAAAGGAAACCCTGGCAGCAGAGCTGGGCGGAATGGAAGCCAGAAGCTCTCCACTGGCAGGTGGTGGCCACAACCAGGTACACTGACCAGCTTGGCAATGGGAAGGCCCACTGGGTCCCCGAGGGTGGAGGGCTCAGAGGGCGGCTCTCTAGGTTGTTGGCCCACACGAGGGGTGGGAAGAAGGGCTTTGCAACTGGTCCTCCGGCAGTTTTGCAGTTTCACCTAGGGGCCTGGTTT